TGTCTCCATATTTTCCTTCAAACAAAGACAAGGCCGAAGGATTGTGCAGAGGGAGCCTGAGAGCGATGACAATTTCTTCCTTCCCTAGACCCTCTCCTTTTTATTACTGCGTCTAGACATTCTCGGGAAACGACTGGACACATTCTAAATCGCGTACGTACCTGTCACATAAACTACTGCACCGACTGAACCAGGAATGGCTTTCTCTGGAAACTCCAAGTTGATAACGTCGTGCTGACCGTTGTCATCCACTCGTGCTGAGAAACAGTACACTTAATGAGATTATAATACTTTATAGTAACTTGCATATGTTGTAATCCCAAATTATGCAATAGTGGAAATTTGTTCATACTGCTAGTTTTGATTCCACGAAAATCGGGCAACCGCTATCTCATTCGAAACCATCATTGTTTCAAATCAGTCTTGTTGTTCAAACCACACTCCTATCTTGTTGCTCACGTCTGTTGGATTTCAAGCCATGTCTCGAGGTTTCACTCACTTAATTTTCATAACCTAAGTGTCTGTCAAGTTTCTTTCATTGTAATCCCTACAAAATCGTCGGCTTTCAGAAAAACATTAAAAACTTCAGCCGACACATTCTAATCGTTCATCTCAGAATTGCAGCTTTTCACTTTCGCACATTTAAAATACCATATACATACATTGACTCTGGAAAGGCGCTGCAGTTGGTTTGTTTTGCTTTTGATCTCCACTTTTAGGACCATCGTTTAGGTTTCCTACATGAATTGAAAGATAAATGAAGTTAAAACAGCATGGTTAATCTTTTTTCATTCCTCAACACGCAATGAAAAGCTAAAAGGACTTCCAGAAAAAAAGCAAAATGACTAAACAAATAACTGCATAGAACTAAAAAGTGGTGCATCCATGGAGTGGTTCTCCGTTCACTGATTTTACGCCAAATTAAAATTAGCAGTGTTCTTTGATGTAGAGGGAAGAAAACTAACGAATCTCTCAGAAAAAAAGAAACCCTTGGAGTAAGAGCAACAGGGTACAAAAAAACCGAACTCCCTTGAGGCAACAGGTCGAGGAATCGTAGTGGCAGCCAGCGCTGTCACTACGAAGCCTCTCCTTGGAGGAAAAAATTACACTTACCTTAACATAACAATATACGTCTTCAAGAGATTGTCTTAATATTTCTTTTTATATAGTTTGTATTACTCGAGAAAGCTTACCTTTTGGATCCAATACGAAAGACTGTGTTTTTCGAGTTTCCTTTCCTTCCGGCTAAAATGAAATGTCATAGGAAACGGTTTAAAAAGTCTTGAAAGTAACAGCAAAGAAAAGTGGAAAATAACGGTGATCCCCCTTTCGCCATCCCTAACTCTCCTACATTCTGTCCATCGTATGGGCTCATCAACCCTTCTTATATCCTGAAAAAGTTATGGTTGTTCATCTTGGTGACTGTAATTATCATTTATCTCAGGATCTCATGGCTAGGGGCTTATGCAGGACAGAATCAACAAACGAGGTAGGGATATCACCCGCGGCTTCCGCCGTTTCAAACCACACCCAGAACATCGGACGCTGCGCCGCGCGCTTAAGAACGGAAAAAAATTTATGGATTGTGACCCAACTGCTCTACATGCACATTAATTAAAAGAGGCGATCCACTAGAGACTTCACTGTTCACGGTAAAATGATGGTAATTTTAAGACATGCTTTCATGAGATTAAAACGAATTTTATTTTTCATTAAAAAATTGTTCCGTACCAAATTCTCAGCCATGGGTAAGGAGCATTCTTATCATGTTCTTAAAAGTTCCACCCCAATATTCTTGTGAAAATATGATGATGATATTATAAATAGAAAAAATGAATGGAATACCTACCACAACGTAAAGTTTTCTTCTCACAGAATCTCCAGCTTGGTTCATCATTGCTCCACCAACATCACCTGCTAGTATGACTGAGACCTCAATTGAGATTTCTCCAATTCTTTTAGGAACAATTGGCACAGCAACCGAGCGAGCATTGCCGGGCGGAATATCAACGATACCAATCTGAGCTTTTTTGCCATCAGCAGCAGTCGAGCAAAAATCTTTGTCACCCTGGAGGTAAATTTTTGCCTGAAGAAGACAATATAGAGAACTTGCACTTACATTGCGAAGGGTTAATTGACGGAAAACTCGCCTGTGTGAATGAGCCTTTAAATTTCAACTCTTATCGAGCCTTTCCTATCTCTTGGCACTTAAAAAATTGTATGTTCGAATTCCGGACGCCTGCCATGTAAAATTAATTTTTTGTTATTCCTTTTTCCCACACTAAAGGAAATTTCTTAAAAAAAAAAAATGGGACAGATTGCAATAAAGGGACTTAAAGGATGACACGAACTATTTTAACATCATTCACTCACATCATTCGTCTTCTTTGAATGAACTGATGACTTGATTTTTATTCTACAACAAGAGCGTCAAAATACAACTCTTAATTTCCAACTCACCCTCAGCTCTTCCTTATGGTAGTTGAACACTGTTGCCAGGATGGATATTTGCTCTCCTCTTTTGACTGAATATGGGAACTTCAGAGAGAGAAATATTGGACGCCATGCCAGAATCCTGAGAGGCGTGGCTAGACCCAGTCCGGTTCTATTGTTGATTGCCACGGCCTGCATGACCCACGTGGTAATGGTGTCGGGTATGGTGACACCCATCTGAACCAATCCATCCGGGCTATAAAACATTGCATAACATGACGTAACGTGACAAGACATAGCAAAACGCGGCTTGACACGAAATAACATGTCATGACATGTCTTGGCGTGGCGTGACGTAACGTAAAGTGACGTGGCACGACGTGGCGTGACGTGACATGACATGACATGACATAACATAACATGACGTGACATGAGATGATATGGCATGACATGATTTAGAAGGTTGTATTAGATTAATTTACGTTCTGTTGCCTTGCATTACATTAGTTCATATCAAAGGAGTAACATCACAGTTGAAGATTTTGGAAAACTAACCCTAATCTCTACATGTTCGTCATTGGCAATTCGGGTTAAACTTCTTCATCTTAAACAATCTTTGATCCTTTTGTTTCATTTCTGCCTAGGAAGCGTTGGTCTTTAAGGTTTCATTAAATTTGATGAGGCCTTTTTGCCCTCGAATTCATGCAAAAATAATCCCAATGTAGTTCAGAAACATGTTTCTAACCTCACTGAAGCCACTGAAACCTACTTTTCACTCCCTTCCTAGTTCAAAAGTTTCTTCTGCGTTAGAAACAGTTTCTCAGATAATAGGTGGCAAGTTTTCGATGTCGTCTAAGAAATTGTGTTGGAAAACTACTCTCCACATCACTCTGGTAATGAAATTCTGCTAAGGTTTGAAAGTCAGCCAATCTCACTAACAACAGTCCTTTTCGGTACCACCCTGATCCGGTCGCTTACAATTATGTGTACGATCTTATAATAAAATATCACAGAAGCAGTTCTTTAAGAATAGACATGCCTTACCCAACAACTTTCTCGTCGTAGATCCAGGTTTCCGGGAAAAAAGATCTGACTTGTGTTTGAGAGAGGATTTCTTCTTCACTTGGACCAAAGTCATCACCGAGGTCCAGATTTCTTGCCAGAAGTGCAGAATCTGAAAGAGAAATAGCGTTTTAGAGGGCATCCAACTTGTCCTCTCCACATTTGCAAAAGTATGATCTTATTGGAAAAATAAACGTATAGGAACTTTACACCGACAGCCAATAAGGATGAAGTTATCAAACTTTTCATTGGTTTCTTAATAATAGTTCTTATGAGAATGTCTCTCCTCTGAATAGATGAAAATCATATCAAACGATTGTTAAAGAGAGGTCAATAATATAAATGGGTACTAGAAAAACCTGACAAAATCCTGGGGAAAGGCGGTGGGGAACCCTGCGATGAGGTACTTACCATGTGAGTTAACAAATCCTTGTCGTTTGAAGCGAAAGAGAAGTGAAAACTTGGGCAATGACGAGCCTATACACTTAACCCATACCTTCTGCACCAAAAGCTTTTTTACAGCATCGCCAGAACGCTGTCCTACAAGAGGGCGAAGCAAATGTAGTGTCGTCTATGTAGCGCCTTGCACAGCTTCTCCCTTCCTCATCTGGCTTTTCACCCATTTTACAGTATGCTTTGCAATCTGTTGAGTGTAAAACATTCACTGACGAATTTGAGTTTTAAATGGGAAAAGAAAAAGAGATAAATAAAAATACACATCAACTGTTGTGTTACGGAAATTCTGATCGAAAATAAAACTGGATGGAAGAACATTGTTTTACGAAAAAAACTTGTTCACCTTCTTTGCTTGCACTCCTCTTTTTCCGAGCATTATTGTGCTCGCAGCCGTAATCTGCCATATAAAAATGATTTAAAGAATGTAAAGATTTTCGACCTTGAACTAACTTTAAGGGGAGGGAATTCTTCAGGTTAGTGAAATGGTTTCAGAGTTTGAAGGGCCTGAATTTATCTTTCAAATCCGGCGGAACTCTTAATCCTCTTGGTATCAACGAGCACTTTCCATTCACCTAATTTATGATTATGTTTTTCATGTTACTATGTTCCCACCAACAGCGTAGCTCCATCTTTTTGTATAGACAGTAAATAAACCACGCACAACCCACAATTCATCTTTCCGCTCTGACGAAGTTCTAGCGCTTGAAACTTCAGCTTTAAAAACTATTTACGATGGCCAATTCACGTTACCAACTCAGCTGTTAAAACCAAATCATCTTATCATACCCCCAACGACGAAGCAACACAGTTTCTTTTGGAAACTTGCCCCCTTCAGCCAGTAAGTATTAGTAGAGGTTAATCAAATCAAGTCAAATAATATTAGTATTGATATTCTCCACACTGTTCCCTTCACATTTCCTATACTAATGACAAGGAGAATATGTGTGACAATCACGAGCTTCTTAAATTGATGATCATTTCCTACAGTGAATAAACTGACGGCGCAATAATTTACCTTCTCTCCCGTCACTCACAAAGTTCTCAGTCATCAGGACAACACCAGCATTCTAAGAAAACAAGAAAAAATAATAACAAAATTATCGCAACCTTTAAGTTCCTGAGAATCTAAACAGGAGAAACTAAATGGCTATACTTTTTTCTATCAAAGCATGCAAGTTCATTTTAGAAACATACCCAGAGGTGATCTGAGAAAAATTTCAAAGAGTGGTCATTCCCTTAACTTGTGAATGAATCAGTTTTCAAGTCACCAACTCCATCAAACGAGTGAAATATTTTCAAACTTCCCCTATTGTTTCAGTTTTCAAATCTAATATACCAATCAACTCTTCAAAAGCGTCAAAACAACTTTCAAGTGTCGCGTCCCTTAAGAAATGGATTAGCATATGAGGAAGATTTCCTATACGCTTGTGACAATACCTTGTAAATTAAAGAAATCTTTTGTTCACTTTTAGTCAGGCCTGTATTACTACTAACCTTAAAAATGTCTTTGTTGTTCCGTCCTCCTCCTACACCACAACCAAGATCAAGTCCCTCTATGGTCTTAAAAATCTGGGAAAGAAAACACCAAAGGTTCACTTATAATATAATGTTTGATACATTTAAGGCGGCTCCAAATCCAATCACTAGGACTTTACGAACCGTGATTGTTACGTAGAGAATTCATAGAAGTGTACACCCGAGCCAAGTGGCCCGCCCAGGTGGAGCTTGTCCCAGTTTCCATGGCATCAAGCGACTGGGAGTATCACTACTCCCCCCTGGATGGGTTGCAGGTCCATCTCAAGGTGGATAAATCATACTCCGTCATAAAGGTCACCGGGCTCGTATATAAATCACCGGCTCTTACGACAAACAACAAACTGTATTGATGGCATTATATACCATTGCTATGGCGACTGATTAATTTGAGAATGAGGTTATCAGAGATTCAATTTTCCATCAAGCGTAATAAACTAGATTGAAGCACTCATTTGAAAAACCACATAATCATTTTTAAGATCAATATATTGATTTGTATTTTACAGATGTGAAATAACACTGTTTGTGCTTAACTATTGTTACACTTTGTGCGTCACGCTTTTGTATTTTGTGTTTGAAAGCCGAAAGCTTACGCCCCATGCATGAGTACCCTCGAAGGGCAAAATAATCCTCTCTCTCTTCGTAGGAGGGCTGAATCAGCCATCTTAATGAAAAACAAAACCAATGAAATAAAAACACAGACGAATTGTAGCATTGTAAAGCGACACCACTCACCCTGTCCTTAGTAAGTCTGTTCTCGTTTCTCAACAGGTACACACTTTGGTCCACACTCAGAAGACCCAGACGTGTCCCTTGTGGGGCCCTGACTTCCAGTTGGTAATGTCTTCCAGGGTCTTTTTTCACTTCGTTGAGCTGCACGAAGGACCCATCGGCCTGCTGTTGCCACGAATCTGGAAATTCGACCTAATGTTGACAAAATGCGATAAGTATTGTATAAGTATTAGAAGTATAGGCAATGTAAGTATAAGGAGAAGGTATGGGAAAACGGGGGTCTCTGTTAAAACGGCTTGTTAAAAAGTGGCAATTTTCACAGAAATGAGTATGGTGGAGTATGGTGGTTGGCAGCTCACGGAGGTAAGAAAGATAAGTAACGGATTACAATGTATCAAATATTCATTTCTCTTTCTATGCAAAACTTTTGGGAAGATTGCTGTTCTAAGTCATCCGAAAAATCGAGATACAAGCAGTCATCTCACAATTCACCAGATAAAAAAAACCCTTTCACAGATGTTGAAAAAATCCCTTCTTGCCCGCATTTCACCATATCCTTTTCTCGTTACCTCGGTTGGAAGTTTGTCATCAATTCTGAGCAAAATGCTGTCAGCTACAACGCGTTCGTTGCTGTCAATGTAATAACCAATCAAACGTGCTGATGGTGACATTTCAGAAGTGACACGGAACGACCAACTTTTAAACATTCCGTCAAAGTTGTCTGTTGTGTTGTGAGAAATAATTCGTCCTCGAGACACAACCTGAAAGAGAACTTTTCAGATTAGAAAAGCAGAAACCAGATGCTACTGGAACTGTAAGGTGAATAACGGTTATCCATCCGAAAAATGAAGAAAGTGTAATATCAGTTTAGTGAGCTTGCAACGAGAGGAAAGATTCAGCTCCCCTACAAAAATTACCTTTTCACTTCCAGAAGTGACGAAGAAGTTATTATGTCCTTACAGTATCAATACAAAATTATGCAGAAAGGTAACGAGAGTGTACAAAACTATCAGTTGGAAAGTTCTCTTTTTTTATTCAAAACCAAATTCTCAGAATTAACATTGTTAAAAATGCATGGCAAAAAGGAAGGAGAATTGCTATGTAGATCTAAGGAGTAGTTGGGTTATGTGTGGTTTATCATCCTCTACATTATTCCCAGACCTTCCCATAAGTAAACTGAAAAACATGGCAAACGCAAGAACTAAACCTACCGCAAACGAAAGTTTGGCTGCAGCGTCGTTGCGGCTTCGATAACTTTCACACTGTATTTTACGGCCAACCTACGGAAAAAAAAAAGTGTATGTGAAATATGAGCATAATTCTCACCTTACGACTTCTTTGGTTTATAGCAATCTGGGAGTAGAAAATAACCCAGGAATGCATTGGCTTTGCATCGCTGAAATCGCTTATGTGAATGGTCATCAATACTGTGCTATCCTCTCAATCAATCATGAGCAGAAGTCAAAACCGGTAGTGACCTAGTTACCCCCTTTTTCCCGCGGTTGGAGTCGTTTTTACGTATTTTCGTTTAAACTCTTATTGTTCCCTTGTGTAAAACTAAGAGCAGTCCCTCCGAAGTCCAGTGTTCCGCGTGGCGCGCTAACATCAACTTTTCTTTCACTGACGTTTTGACTCGCGCGCAGGACTTCGCCGGAAAAAAAGTAACTGTGCATAGGCCATCCCTTGTGATGACGTATTTTTCTGATCGGTAACAGCACGTTTTTATTTCACGAACCTCAAACAGAATGCTCTCTATCAAACTATTCATGGACCAAGCTGTAAGAAAACCTACTGAAGCGCTCTCATCAGGAACACAAGCTAGGTCGAATAGTCTCATTTGGCTATTTTGGTAGCTGCTAAAATCATGTTTATCCCTTTTGATACAATCTGTACATAATTGCGGAAAGACATATTTGCTAACATATGTGCAGTTCTAAAATGAGCGATCGACAAAATTGTGGTGTAGTCTTATCTCAGCTGGTATAGCCTTGCACTGCTATCCGGGAATCACGAGTTAAAAATCTTATGAAAGCCATGTGTTCATTTGCCTTCGAGACTTCTCTTCGAGCTCCTTTCGATTGCGAATATCACGCGGGGATCTTTAAGACAAGTGGGGTAAAAAAGCTGTTTACTGCCAAGAAAACTTAAACTTTAAATCACTGAGCGTTGACCGGACAATCAAAGTTACCTTTCCATGTGTCAGCTGACGAACCATAATCAGCGGTCCATTTTCTGCGTCAAATGGGTTCACAATCAACCTGGCGACTGCATTCTGTTGAGGAGTTAGGTTCTGATTGTCCGTTTTAACCTAATCAAAAAAGACATGAAATAAGCTCCACTTTCCCATTAAATCGTACATAAACCCCATAGTTATCAATTTGTCGATTAGGAACTGCGGCGCATTTTGCGGGCTAAAATGGAGACATTGGCGCACTAAAATACGCATGCTCACGTGATTGTTCAGATTGTTTTGTTGTTGTGTTTTTTTTTTCTAAAATGACTCTTGGCCGGACCGAAAACATATTTCTTAACTCAATTGTTTTAATACAGAGAGAAAACACTCCTCCTGACTAATCAAAGAGGATTTTTGGGGGGTGGTGGGTCAGATCAATACTGAAATCTTAGTGTTTCACTCTTTCGCAAATATATTTAGAAGCTTTACCCAAACTGGATATTACATACACTGAAGATCAATCCTTACTTTTTCCACATACTGTTTCATAAAAAACACCGTCAATGTGACCCTAGAAACATAGCTCAGGTAGCTCATTGAATAACAGCCAAATTTTTTTTGATTCAAATCCATCTCAATCCGGAATGATTCAGAATGGCTCTCGGTGAACACAATACACAATTTTCTTATTTTTGTATACTAAGAATTAGAAGATGAGCCTCCATAATCTGGTTGAATTACTGTGTTTAATCTTACCTTAATATTAATTTCCGCACAGATTGAACAAGCATCCACTACAAACTCAACCTCTCCATTTTCATCTGTCAAGTCTACCACATTGGGGTCTCGATCCTCTCTCTTCAAATCGATTTCGTTATTTCCCTGTTTCCCTTTGGCAGAAATCAGCATTGGAACATTCTTAGCTGGCTTTGTGTTGGGATAGGTAACAACAGCCTAAAACAAATTGCAATAATATTAAAATCTGCCAATAACCGTCAGATGTCATGCTCTACTACGCTCATATGAAGAAACTAACGTATGGAAGTAAAGACCCTTTCTACGGGCTACAACAGTTCGTTCGCTTTTAATTTTTATGACAAAACACCTGACTAGATACAAATCATCCTTTTTCCAAACTTCACCTGATTTTCTTATACAAGACCTCCCCCTGTCCTCTGTTGGGCTACACAGTTTTTAACCCTTTGCACCCTAACATCAGGATACAATTTCTCCATACTGTTGTGTGTGTGTTTCCTATGGTACTTATAAAGAGAATTTGTTTAACAATCCAGAGCTTCTTTAGTTGGTGATCATTTCCTTTTAATTCTCATAACCTCAATGTTTGTTTTAGGGGTGATACTGATAGGAGAAAATAGTTACTAATCACTCCTAGGGATTAAAGGGTTAAGACAAAGTATGAAGGCTTGAAGACTAAATTTAAATGCAAATTCACCCCCTGGAAACAAATACATGTACCCTCTTTAGAGGAGGGGGAGACATTCAACACCAGAAGAGTGCCAAGATATGGTCATTTTAACCAATTATAGGTTTTGTTTCCATCTCAAAGACCTTTTATATTACAGTTCTTACCTTCACTACATACCGCAATCCTGGTTTAAAATATCTTGGTGTGTTCTTAAAGGCAATGCGGTAAGGGCTTGATGTAAATTGGCATGTTCTATCCTCAACAGTTGCCTTGTTACCAGTCACCGCCTCAACAACATCAACCTGAACCAGAAGTCTGGCTTTCAACGGGAACCAGATATTCCCAGGAAGGTCTCGAATCATCTGGATCCGTCGTGGGACGGTAGTAACTCCACTGCTGTGAAGCTGAGTCAAGAAAGGAGAGAGTTGAATGGTGAGACATGGACAAATGTTGTTAAGAACAATTTTGTTCCCACAAAGCCATTTTATCTAAGGTGTCTGCTTTAATGCATATTTCATTGGAAAAGAATGAAAGCACTTAACAAATTAGTCAATTCAAAAAATCAGTCAGTTATTCAAGGACTGAGTCATTCAGTTGGTTGGTCAAACAGTTAGGATTAGTCTGTCTATCAATCAATCAATCAATCAGTCAATCAATCAGTCTGTCAGCTAGGCAGTTGGTGAATGAGTGAGCGAGTCGGTCAGTTGGACAGTTTGATCAGTCAGTCAGTCAGTTGGTCAGTGAGTCATTCAGTCAGTCAGAAAGTAAGTCAGTCAGTGAGGCAGTTAGATGGTCTGTCAATCAGTCAGCCAGAAAGTTTGTCAGCCAGTCAGTTAGTCAGTCAGTCAGATTTGCATTCAGTGAGTTGATTTATCTAAGTTGGGATCAACCACTTGCTAAGCATGTAAGAGAGTGAGTTTCAGTTGGTTCATCAATCAGTAAATCAGTCACCCAGTTAGTCAATCAGTCAAGATCAGTTAACAAATAAATGAGAGAGCATGTACCAGTAAGTGAGTGACCAAGTGAGAGAGTGAGTCTGTCAGTCAGTGAGTCAGTCAGTCACTAGCCAGTCAGTCAATGAGTCAATGAGAGAACAGGTGAGTGAGTGAGTGATTGAGTGAGTGGGTTATTGAGTCAGTCAGTCAGTTAATCAGAGTCAATTAGCCAATCAATAAATAAACCAAGTAGTCTGTTGAGTCTATCAATAAACTCAGCAATCAAAGACAATCAGAAGTCAGTCTGTCAATCTAATCTTTTTCCTGTGTTACAACTTACTATAATGGTTTGCGCATCAAACTTTATAGTTTGACCATCAACACCCTCAATAAACAAAGAATATGTAGCACTTCCGAGAACAGGTTTCCCATAAGTGTACCTAAAAAAATACAAAATAGGGCAAAACAGCTAAAAAAGAGATTGGTGACTCGTTGGTGCAAAAGTAACATCATGCAACAAGGAAGGAAAGAGGTTAAACACTGACAGATAACTTGTTTTTTAGATTTTTTGTTTATCTATATATTTCCTAAGACTGGAAGTTTAGAAGTAAGGCTCAACTCTACCCTGTTAATTTCCTATTTATATCCTGACATTGAAATATGGGATACTGCCAGTGGGCCACTCCCTCTAGCTGTGATTCCCCGATATAGACCCAGTCCCTCACTATCACAGCAGAGCTCTGTCAGGGGTTTTCATTATATGTTATGTGGTTTCTTTGTGTAATATTTTTGCAAGACCTGCATGATAAGATTATAAGATTTTACTCTAGAACCAAAAAACCCAAACAATTCAAATCCAACAAGTTTTGCCACTATGTGGTTACCACACTAGCATCTTTTATCTGCTATATTATGGTGAAAATTACGAAAATTTTATCAAAAGAGTTAAAGAGAAGTAAAAATAAATCGAGGAGGAAAAAAGGAAAAGGCCAACAGCCAGACATATGGTAAATTAGCAAGAAAAATTACTCCAGATTAATTTTAAAATTTGTGGCTTTAGATCCAGCAAAGAGTTATTTATTTAGCATTTTTAGCTTTTTCTATGTTTCCCTTTATTGTTTTCTCCTCCTCTCTCCCTTAGAAAACGATAATACTGAAGTTTCCAAACCGTTTTAGTAAAGGCCTAGCAATCAAATAGTACTTTAAAGCTCAGTGGTAGAATTTGGAGCACAGAATCCAAGGGACTGATATTTCATCCTTGCAGGGGATACATAATGTTTCCTTTTCCCTACATTGTAACTAGATGAATAAAATTTTTCTTTTTTTTTTTTCATGACCAAGCTTGAAATTTACCATCTTTCCAATTCTATGTAAGATATTCTTTGAAAAATGAAACAGAGCTACTTTGTATTTTAAAGTTTCTCAGTTTAGGATAGTGTTTGTTTTTGTAAGCAAAAGCAATCTCTTACCTTGCAGTAATATTGATCCCGAATGCATCGTCTGTTTTCAGTATGTAAGGTGGCACTGAGACTTTCACTGAAAACTTGGGGAGCACTAAAAGATAAAAGAAGTATGCATAACTATTAGCATGAAAAATACCGAGGAACCTAATAAGTATTTCAGAATATCCTTACCATATTCTTTAACTTCAAACTGCACAGAAGTGTTGTGGATGTTCTTTAAAAAAATGAAAAGAAAAAAAAAGAAAAACAGAATAAATAAAAAGAAATTCAGTTGATGACCAAGTGTAAAATACTTTGGCTTCTCTTTACTTCATGTGACTGAAATCATTCTGTTTCTCAAATTGAAATCTGTTTTGTTTTAATGGCATTCTCATTGACCGGGTAAGAGGTGTGATTCAGAGAAAAAAACAAGTTAGAGATCTGGAATACCTGGTGACCGTAAACGGCTGTTATGGTCCAATTACCATGGAGTATAAAGTCGCCCAGTTCGAGCCTTTTTGATATGATACCTTGAAAAGAAAAGAAATAAATAACTTAACTATGTCAATATTAACATTCATCATCTGAAACACAATCAAATCAACCAACCTTACCATCATTTGCATTGCTTGATAGCTAGATATTTGAAAGAATAGTTTACCAAGTATTTAAACAGTACAGTCACCTTACACGAATCGCTGGGCCGTAAAGACACGTGAATCATATTTTGAAGGTTACTACTGACATCTTCAGAGGCCAGCCGCCATTTTGAAATAGCCCAACCATAAACACGTGACCAAAAACAACTGGGGTCTGGTTTGATCCACTACTTCAGTTCGCTGACAACCAAGTGATTAAGAAAAATTAACTATTTAGCCCTCTTATCTACCAGCTAAGTTCTCGAAACACTTTTCGAAATACAATTCTTTCATAAGAGTGAAGGTGAATAGGGTCTACTTGCAAGTTTCAAAAAGAGGATGTGAGCCGAACACGTAGCTTCAAAAGGAAAAATGGACAATTTGCAGGAATGATGTGACCTTCTTTACAATCTCTCTGAATGCTTGACAAGGAACAATTCAAACCTGTAGTGGTGTCCAAGTCTTTCCACTGTTGTACACGGACACCCTGTGGATTCTAGAAAACAAAAGAAAGAAAGAAAAAAAAAAGGTTACACGCTTAGGACCAAATTCTAAACTCTAGTGAACAAAGATGATATAAATTATTTTAGGCTTAAAAGTTTTTGTTAAAGGACTGTGCTGTGATCAACGAATTCATCGTCGTTTAAGCACTCAGAAGGAATTAGGCAAAGGACATTGTTTTTAACAAGACATTTCGTGGTGAGGGGGGCATTGGGATTTTAGCTTTCACGGCTTTAGCTATTTTTTAGATCGATTTTTTTCGGTTTTTTGTTCCAAAAAAACCTAGGTTTTTCGGTTTTGGTGTTCATTACGGTTTGCGGATTTTCTGTTTTTTAGCATTTGGCATCCGATGTGGTTTTCGGTTCTTCATTTGGGTTCAAATTTCATTCGATCTGAGCCATCATGTCTCCAGCAGCAGAGCATCGATCTTAAACAAACCAAAGAAAAAAGATGAAAAAAAAAAAAAAAAAAGATAGTTAAGATGCTTACCATGACTACCACGGTAATCTATATCAAGGAAAAAGGAAAAAAAAGAAAAAAAAGTTAGTGCGTACTTCGAAAAAAATTAATTGGACATGATTGGTCGTTGTTCATCAAGGTCCTTCAATTAAAAAGAGAAACAGAGCTACACAACAGCTAACTTTGTATTATAAAGGGTTTAGGTTTGGGAAAAGGGCTTCCTAAACCCTCTGTTACGAAGGAGTGATTTCAGAGCAAATAGGATTTGATTGCCGTACGAGTTTTATGAAACCTAAGTTGATTCGGATGGGAAAAAGAAATATCCAAGAACCACTGAGAGTAACGTGTGATTGATGTACTCACCTTCCTCCTTGATGGCTTCATATCAAACTCAAGCGGCATCACTCTGATTTTCACTGTTTAATAGAATGAAATTTGGGTTAGATTCAGTTCATTATACTGGGGAGGGTAGTCGTCTACCTTCATGAATTTTTTTTTAGGTTTGTGTCGAAAGCTGGGGATCAATCGCAACATCTTACCACTCTGTCTTGGTGTGTAGACGGGTTTGTCAGTCTGTATGAATACCACCCCGTCTTTGTAACTCAAAAGAATCTTCGCTTCTTTGTGAAACTGAAAGTGGCCATCATCTGACTTTGCAATCAAATAAATATACTGTTTATCTACGGAACTGGGATCTGAAAGGTCCTGTGGGTCCACCTGCGAGGGTAAAAGAAACGGCAGTTAATGGAAAAACAAAATTATACTTTCATGGAACCCCAGATAGTATCTACTATTTCATACCTGAATCATAAAGCCCTTTTTTCTCTCAACAGGCCCATGCATTTGCCTTAAAAATGTCGGTATAAAAAAACGATGTTGTTTACCTAAGGAAACACTAACAGTGAGCCAGCACCCACTTTCCCCTGAATTTAGACAACACTTGCAACATAAATTACCCATTACAAGTTAAACTGATCAAATTGTCGTACCTTTATGGGAAGAAAAATGCTTTTATCTGAAGAAAGGAAAGAAAATAATTAGAAATTTGACACTCGGGATTGTCGCATGAAAAAAAAAAACACTTTTTTCTATTAACCAACGTTAAGTTACCGTTTTCCACAACTCCTTGCACTTCTGAGAATGTCTTTTGTCTATGTGGATAGTCTTGTAAGTATAACTTCACTGTCACCGGTTGCGGTGCGTCGAACACCGTCACTGATACCTTCTCCTGGACACCAATGTGAAACATATTGGGAGCCATTATTGAAAACCTGAAATGAGAACAATGGAAGAATGAATGATAAATCTTCCACCAAATTCACGACTTACTCCTGGGATCCGGCGCTTCGTCTCCCGCATTCTTTAGAAAAAAAACTTAAGAATATCTAATCTCAATGACTGATAATTCTACTATGGACTATTATGCGGCTTGTCAACACGTTGTTTAGTATGTCGATCGTCTAAATATATTTCTCTGATACTAATTATCATGGAACCTAAGGTTAAAAGCCTCAATGCTTTTTTTATAATTTCTCGCAAATGATATTTTTTTTGTCTTCTTTACCAATTTCTGTAAATTGTGGTAATATTATATGAAATGGCAAATAAAATAAGATAAAAGAAAAAAGGAAACAAAAAAGATACGAATAAAACGCTTGTGGCTTAATGGAAAGAAGCAGAAAAAAAAATCACAGATTGGCAACGCGAGAACATATTGTTGTTACTGATGCGTGTCATAAATGAGCACAAATTTACAAGTGAGTTGAACGCTTAATGGGTTTATGTGTTAAGTCTATAGGACGTCCCTCTCGACTAAGCACCCTCCCCTCCCCCATTCAAAACGGAAAGCAAGTAAATGACGAACCTCTCTTACTAAGTATTCCATTCGCACGAGACAAATGGAGAGATGCACGGTTACAGCGTACGGATTATTTTTTTTTTTGCTCGTTCAAATGAAATCTAGCTTTAGTAAAGGGTTTGACATAAAGCTGTCAGTATAATGTTAGAAAATTTGAATATATATCGTATTAGTTTAAGAAAAAAGTAATTTGTTATGACATGTAGAGCGGCACTCTTGCAGAGAAATGAAGTAAACACCCTTTTAAAAGCATGAATAAATCCATAAATAAGATTCTAATTAAAAAATTTAACAATCCGTGACGGTTCGTGTGAATTCGCAATTTTTTCGCCAAATGCTTAAAACCCTCATGAGCTCCCGATGTTTGAGAAAAACAATACTTTTACTTCCTGAGACACCTACGCAGTGATTGGAAAAACAAGATTAAAATCAGCAACAGTAGTTCAGGACAACAGTGAACAGGACCTAATGCTAAAGGAAGTCGAAACACAGCATGAGATCGGATCTGCACTCTCGCATATCGGATAGGGTTTCATATTGTGTGACCGCGAGATTTCTTCTTGCGCCGTCTCCAGATCATTCTAAGTTTACCAATGTTTAATTGCAACAGAAGCTCAACAGCCCACTCACGAGAAGGTTCACTTCCGGTTTCGCAGCAGCTTATTTTAAATTCTTTTAAATGCCAATTAACATCTGGAAGATTTAGCTAGACACTCGTCTATTTCCAAACATCAATTCCCGATGGAAAATAATTGAAAGCTTTCAGTGCTGATTGAATTAGTCATTATTATCATTAGTTAGAAAATTAGTCCAAATAAAACTATCCTTCAATCAAATTAACTAATTTGTATTTCCGGTTTCAAAGCATTTTTAGCTCTAGGCATGAAACGGCCCACGTAATGCCCTGTCACTCAAGCATAAAGGTTGCACATCGGCCAATTTCTTTCTTCAGAGAAAACGTTTCAGTTCGATCCGGTGCATACATACACTTCAAAGCGCATTCTTCAGAGCCCCCATGCGAACTAGGTGGCCACAAAAATCACCAATTACAATTTTATTCTGGTATGCTTTAAAATATCGTTCTTTGCATCTAATATTTCTCGCCAGTTAGGAGCGCAGGTCAACGCTTTCGCAAATCAACACGATGTTCATGAACTGAGAAAAGTATAATGTCCGATATTTTTAATTCAAGAGGGCTTCTTCCCACGAGCTAATTTTTTTGGTGCTCTCTCAATTAGATGGTAGTCATTTGTCTAGAAGCACGTCGCGCCGTTACCTTTCACGTTACGGTTGACGACGCACTTGAGCTCAAATAGTTCAGCCCAATTTACCGGCTTTGATTGAAAGTAAAAACTCGTTTTATAATATTATGGCTTTTGTGGCGGACTTGCATTCACTTTCAGTGAATCGACGTAGTGGATAAGTGCTGAAGCGTGATTACCCAACATTTTGCAGTTTGTGTTACTAATACAATATGCGCCGAAACTAATGAATCCAAAAAAGATCAAGACAAAAACAGAGACCTAATCGCTGTAGAAAGACCAATTTAACTAACCTTTTGGCTGCTACACAACCCAACGCAAGCAAAAGTACTGTTATTCGCAGCATTGCGCCGAGAAGCTCCGCCATCCTTGTAGCAAAGCTTTGGAATAATGAAACTCCTTCCTGCAGTGCTGTGGTTATAAGGCGTGATGTGATCTGCTGAGACGTGCCTCCTGGATGCATCAAGTTGCAGTGTTGACAGGTTAATCTTAATTTTCCTCGTGTTTCACTTTCTCTTTGTCGCGAAACAAGGAAAAGAATGTCTAAGGTCACGGCAGAATAACTTCCTTTCGGATCTGATTGGAGAATAGTTCCTAGTTTTGAATGCATCACACGTACAACATCGTAAGTGAGAATTAAAATCACATTATGAGCTGTAAGGCTGCCCCTGATGTTGTCAATTAAGGAAGTAGGCAAGTGTATGAGGGGAAATTTGGTAAACACTACTTAGCTCCATGTGTCGAATGACCACCCGTCCCCCACATGAACTCTAGGATATAACTTCTCGTATGGATAAATTAATATAACTCATTAGCGTAATTGTTACACCTTCATGCCCAGACTTAACAGGCTGAAGCAGTTGTTTAATAAAATGTCAGCAATACGTAATAACGCGGAAAACCTCCAAAGTGTCCCGTCCCTGGAATAATCCACAACGTCGAGAACGAAAGCCTCTTGGAAGGGCTCGAAAGGAAAAAGCTTTGGGGCACTGATATTTTACTTCCCCTTGTGAAAAACTAGACTCTCACTCAATATTTTTTATATGGCGACAAAAATGTAATGGGAAGTCCGTTTTTTCTGGGAATTTATACAAAACGCGTGTAAGAGGAATATATTATTTCCGTGGCTGCCTTCCATCAACACTTAATTAAGTATATTTTTGTTATAAAAATATTTAGGTAACTGACACCAGTGATTTTCATAGATATTTCTCCTGGAACAAAAGGAAATGCTATCATCGAGAATGTTCCAAGTCAACAGGAAAAATCATCCAGGACTAAGGATTTCCTCAATTTGTCCCATATTGCAATGTGATTTTACTCTATCAGTTCAACACGGTTGAGTAATAAAATGGAAGCTATGTTTGATCACGTAGGCACACGGTTTGTTTGGCAAAACTCCATGTATTAATTTCCATTTCAGCTTACTTTTAGTTCCATAAGAAAGGCACCTGATTTCACAATACAAATGAGTAATACTTTTTTTTTCAGGAGATCATGCATACCTCCTGTGTAATAGCCTCAGTAAAATGCAAAATAAAATGTATAATTCTTACACTATGAAGCAACCGGGTTAGTCACGTTATCGAAATAAATCAAAGACAATAGACAGCTCTCAGCTATAAGGTTTCTTTCCGGATTATCTGAAGCGTAGGATTAAAAGGAAATAGTGGCATGATGTTCCTTAACCTTCAGCAGCCGCGACAACTAGACCATGACGTCATCTATGCATTTTGGTGTTACATTCACAGTGTACTCTCCCCGCGGCTCTGAAAACGAGAGCATCGCGAATATACCTTTAAAACCACTTCCCTGATTTAGTTGAGTGGCAAAATCAAAACTTTATTGGGTAAAGTAGGCATGCTAAGATGCAAGGGAGGGAATAAAAAACAAAGTGAGTCGCCTTGTCTCAATAATGGAAAAATTCGTGTCAGGTCAACATCCTGTGACAAATCCATTCCGTTCTTGACTCGCGCGCGTCGTGGCTCCTCGCGGGAGTTCATCCGCGTCCACACGCTCACTCGTACACTCGATCAAGCCTTACAACGATTACAATTCATCCAGTGTAAGTTATATTCAAACCCGTAACTGATCCTCGTATCTCGACTGAAGAGCTTGTGTCGAGGAAAGCAAGAGGAAATATATATGGAGCTTACTTATTTTTACCATACTCAGGGAAGTGTTTCCATCTTTTGAAGAGCTACCAATGAGACTGAAGAGTCAGTTTAACAGAGCTAATTCACTTGTCCATCTTATAAATCCAGCTCATCTTTCAATGTCTTAATGTCTTTTCCGCCCTTTCGTTCCGTTTATGTTTATTCTTGCTCCTCAATTTGTCATCCTTGGCGAGTTGTTATAGACAGGACCACTTACAATCAAAGGCAACTTCAATCGAGCTTCAGCTAAACGTACAAAGGATTTGAGAAAAATCTCTATGATATAACGAAAAAGAAAACTTCAACAATTCAATCGCTGCCATTACTTTATTACTAATTGACTTATTTATCTAAAAATTTTATTACTAATTTACTTCTTTACCTAAGAAAAAAAACAGCAAGATACCGCTGAGCCCATTATCATCTGACATCAAGTTACAAGGATAAAAAAAATTTGCTGCTATCATTATTCCATTTAAGGAGATTTTTAAAAACATATTGAAGGATTCTTTATCAGAGTACACTTTTCTTTAAAATCGGGGCTTTGGAATCATAGTTACATGTATGAACATCGTCTGTCTACCAAAATCGATTATTCTCCTTTTAAAGTTTGGTACCTCGTGACGTCTGAGGGCTATCCTCTTATAATGAAAATTCATTGTTAACAAAAACTGCTGTCATCATTTCTTAAAGACACTGAGTGCATTTCAATTACAGATCTAGGAGCAGCAAGACTACAAAACAAAGTAATCACTGTGGCCCATTAGTAAAAAAGAATCGTCAAAAGGAAACAGTAAAAGCCTAAAACAAGCAACAACTCATCGTGGGCAATGGGTTGGAGGTTGACTCAATTTCAATAAAAACTTGAACATTTTTCTAATCTTTATATTGTTTCATTTTTTGCTTTATCCAGTCGACAAATGGATGCACTTTAGTGTAGTATCCGTATTGCCCCTTAACCGCGCATCCATCGCCCCAACTTACAATACCAGCGGCGACCCATGCATGGCGTTTGCCATTTTCTACTTTTGTATCTAGAACGTATGCTCCACCGCTATCTCCTTGGCAAGTGTCATTTTTGCCCTTACCATCCCCTGCGCAAAATGTTATGGCAGAGTCGATTTTAAGGCTTGCTTTGTTCTCACACAACCGGTCATCTTGGATTTGAAAAGAAGCATGTTTCAGCACTTCTGATGAGTCGAGAGTCTTAGCCCTTTCTCCAATTGGAACATGCTTTGTTCCTCCCCATCCCGCCACTGTGCCGTAATTGCCAGGAGTTGCCAAATCTGGTTCACCCTTCTCAGGCAAACACACAGTTCGCACAAACGCTTTCAATTCAAACGGCGGCTCGACTTTCACAAGAGCTATATCATCTCGGAACGAGCTGAAGTCAAAATCATCGTGATAAGGAATTATTTTCTTAGGTTTTCTTTCTTGCGTGGTCTCTTTATTTCCCTTCCTTGTTAAGTTATGGACACCAGCGTACAAAACGTATCTGAGAATATTATAAGAATAGGTGTGACATTACACTATTTTGCGTCAGAATCAAAACGAGAACTTTGCGGTACTGATTTCAGTAGCTTTTAGACCGACAGCGAAAAAACATTTTATTTTTTGATGGCCCACTTTCTGTCACACACGAGAACAAGAAAAACACGAGCTTGGAATACACTGAAGAATAAGGGAAAAATACCAACAAAAGTGGTGCAAGAAAAGGCCGGATTAAATGATCCAAACTTCCACTTACTAATATCCTTAATGCATAACTTTTGAACGAGAACTGTCAACTGAATTATAATTTTTTTTTGCGTACAGAGAACTTATATCGTTTTGTTTGATCTAACTATAACACTATAATGATCAGTATATGAATAAAAATCAGAGCATGGTGATATTAGACAGGAAGACAGACAGACCCACGGAAGGGTTGATGGAAGGCGAATGGATCAACTGTCAACGAATGGAGGAACTGATGGGCGAGGTGAATGGCAAGATGGATGGAAGGAATAAAAGGAAAAGGATAAGCATTTGAATGGATAACGAACAGATGGATGGTTGAATGAATATATGGATGCGTTGACTGGGAAAAGATCAGTTGGTCTGCAACTCACGAGGACGGGCTGGTAAGTCTTCGGACCCCGTCTTTCTCCTTTTTAAAAAAGCAATGAGCGGCAGTCAAAACCCACTGACGAGAAATAAGGGAACCACTACAGTGGAATTTCTGTTGTCCGGCCCAATCATAGTCTGAAAGAAGACGAAATTAAAGTTGAGTTAACAGGTTTTATCGCTAGCACGCTCTTGTTTTTGAAATTTGAACCTACTCTGCACTCAATTGCAATGACATGCAAAGCGCTTTGAGCGCTTTGCCAAGATCTGATTGTTAATTCTCCCTCCAGTTGCTACACATTTCTTTGTAAACTAGTCACGAGAATTTTGTGTTAGATCAAAATAACTTCTACTTGATAAGTTTTCATATTCTCAATACCTGTCTGGTAGATAAAGTATGGATATTATAGAGAGAATTAACATGTTAATCAATGCTGAGCTCTCTGTGTCAGCCGTTTTTCTACTTGTTTGTAGAATAGAACACTTAAAGCATTTTTTTAAGTTATCAAAATTAATCTAAACTTGTCGAAAAAAGGAGGCACTTCAGTACTGTCTCATGCTTCTTATTTCTTCTTACAGTATCGCTTCTAAATCAAACATCACGAGAATATGGGAAATGATCGCAACTGAAAGAATCTCTCGATTGTTAAACAAATCAACTTCGTCAGCAACATCTATAAGAAATGGAAAATATGCATACTGATGTTAGGATGTGAAGGATTAAGGGAGAAGTTTACTCCAAAAAGCATGTAATTTTTTACCTTCGAAATTATTCAGTGTTTAGATTTTTTTATCACGATTTGAGATTTCAGAGTGAACTGACCCTTCGAAAGAGCCGTCAATTATTGTAAATATCCGACTACTGACGATAAACTAGGTAACCTGGCAAACGCAAAACCACATCAGGATAAAGATTTATCCAGTGGATAGCGTTATCCAACCTTCGAACAACCGTGGCCGGGCAGTTAATTCAGGCGGTACGTTTTCAAGAGGTACTGCTCTGATTATCGCCCCCAACCGTTTTTGCCTGATATGAATATTTACATGAAAGAACACACAATGAAATAAACTTTACTTGTGACGATGTAAATTGCAACTTGCCAGGGCCACCTTCCTCTCCTTGAAATTTCGCCACCAACGATACGTCCGCGCAAGTCATATTGACTTTCTCCACACGAAGAATAGTCTGTAAGAAAGTAAAAATTTATAACGGTGGTAAGTTTCTAAAGAAACTCTGATATTGCTTCGGTGAGGGTGTTGTAAGATAATTGGATTTTACCAGCTGAGTTGAGCGTTTCGAGAGTTAGCCCTTCGTCCGAGCGAAACATTCCAAAGCCCAATTATCTTGTACGAAAGTACTACGCGTTTGGAAAGGGTTCGACATTGTCTCCAGGGTTCGGCACTCAACTTATTAGACAAGTACTGTATTCCAAGGAGGAGTGTGAAAACTAACTTTCCCTATTGAAAGGAAAGAATCAGTTCCGCTCGACCTTCTTCTTCCATACTCCTCTTTGGTCGCAACCTTCTATTTACCGATAAGAGGGTTCGATTGGCCAAACAAACACTCATACCCAATTCAATTAAGTTTCAAGTAATAACTAACTTGTATTTTGAGTGTGCTAAATTTCAGTTAACAAACATTGGTTTAAGCACCTTCTATAAGTAGACGACTTAAAACAAAAAAAGTTTAACAAAACAGTAATAAAATATGTTCAAGCTTTGGTGTGATCGGGGTATTTAGTTGGTATGTCAAGACTTTCAAATCAAGGGAGCTTTAACTATACGTAACATTGAAGTATAAATTAGCAATATTTAGATTTTCAACAACCAACACAACTTACTAACATAGGTGTTTACTGCTTTGTCAATGACTCTATCAAGATCTTCATAAGTTCTGAGGCGTACTACACTACGCTTGCCATATGACGCTATTTGCCATAGTTCTGTTTGACGTACGTCCCTTCCCACTCCTTGTGATAATAAAAAATAAAGTTATAAAACTAATAAAAAAAAAATTCATAACAAAAAGCGATAGAGCGGAGCAGCAAGCCTGGACCACTTGAAGCTAGAAAAAGCCCAATCGCGTGACGTAGGAATCTTGACTTTAGCGAATGGCTGGATTTTGCATAGCAACATAAACATAAAAAAAAAAAAAAAAAAAAAAAAAAAAAAAAAAAAAACGCAACGCATTTTGGGAATGCAAAAGAAATTGATCAACGAGGAGCGTTCTCATTTTTTCAGAGAAGGTCTAGACTGTGCTTGAATGGGAATAGAAGTTACGAGGTCCCATGTAAATTTGGAAATAAGGAAACTAATATACTGTTTGTTTTAACCAGGAAGGTCTGACCATGCAAAATTATGTTTTTTGTATGGTCACAAAAGACCATGACAAAGAGCAGCGTTGATTTCTGTAAACGAATTCCTCTTGGTGAAGATTATTCACTAAAAAGTTGATTCAACTGCTTATCAAGGACTATGTGAATGAACCTAAGGTTAAACAGGTGAGTGAAATACTGCTACTTTAGACAAGGTCCTCTTACCGATAACATATATTTCAAAGTCATCTTCTTCGCGGAGTTTTGCCGCTAATTTTTGGGGAGGACCCCCCGTGTTTGATTTTCCGTCTGTTATGAATATCAGCACCCCATCGCTGCCAAACCTTTTGTGAGGGACCACTACATCTTTGACCTTTTTCAAAGCATCAGCTGAGGCAGTTGCTCCCCCTTCGAAACGTATGTCGTCAATAGCTGCAAGAGTCTTTTGGATTGTGCTGCCCTTTTCATCTCCCAAATTGAAGTGTAGTGTAACGTCTGTGCCAAATGTTACAGCCGCTGTCCTTATTTTGTTTTTGAAAGCCCTATAAGAGTGGAAAAGCTTCTACCGTGATTACTCTCAGAGAAATATAGGGGTACTGGAGCCTAGGGGAATTGTTCCAAGAGTTAGAGATGATGAATTTTCAAGACTGCTCCAGGTTAAAAACCTCGGTGATGCTCTTATACACTTAGAGGTGCCGCCAAATTATGGTGAAACACGGGCACAAATTTACGGCCGAGGAAAAGCATAAGTTCAAGATTCCCAGGTCCACACTACATTAATACTTTTCTACAATTCAACATCTAGGAAGTGTCCCAAATTCAAGATATCTTGGGTCGGTTAAAAATACCGTTATACGCTGACACAAGATAATCAAAACTGCAACAAAATTCTCGAACGTGATTAGTTATGCAGTGTAAGCGTCATGCTTGTAATTGAACAGTGTAATAGGACAGTTAAAGGGACAGTTAACACTCGCATTTCGCCGAGTCAACTTTTGCTGTTTTTTTTTAGGAAAATGTCTAACCGATGTCTAGTTTCTTTCTCAAATTTTGTCATAGTTTTGTAACAGGACTTCGTGTTGTTCAATTCTGTCTGTAATCATACTCGTAATTTTGTTAATCACTTGTATGATTACAGACCGAAATGGACTTCACTCAGTCCTATTACCATTACTTATCAAGTTAACACTGTATTGAAAGTTCAAGTTCATGCATGCGAGGAGAAGCGGCCCCAAATTGGAGATTCAATCAACGAGTTTGCTGGAGATGTTCAAATTTTTGCCCTTCTGTTGCAATACCTCCTAACATAGATGTTGTGCGAAAAACTTCCGTCAGTAGAAAAAATTTTGTTGTTGTACTTGTGTTACTGATACAAAAAATGTTAAACATAAGTTAGGCATAACCCGGGCTGGCCGTCGCTTCTTCATGTTGAGTGTATTGACGAGAAATTTTCATCGTCGTGATTTCTCCCCTGGAAGGTTTGGTGGAAGATCAATCGAAGAGAGGAAAGCGATAATCGTAAATAATTTCACGTCTACAGACTAGCCAGGTGCCCGAACACAAACATAAGGAAAGGTTAACTTTCAACCCGTACCTCGTGCTATTTGTTCCAAGGAATTTTACAAGCTTCTTCACAAATCTCAGACCAAGTTGAAACTTTTCTCTCGTTACGCTGGTGGAAGCATCAAGCACAAATACTAGATCTAACATGTTATCGTACTGATTGAAGATTGCTCTCCCGCGAGTATTCCCGGAGGGGTTCGTTGTATTGACACTAGTATACGTCAACAAGGTATCGATGAGATTCTTCCGAAGATTGAAGGCCGTTGTGTTAACATCTTCGAAACTGTCCTCGACTTTATCTAATTAAAAAAAAAAAAGAAAAAGAAAACTTGAAAAAAGATTCAAATCCAAACGACAAGAAACATTCATTTTTGTTCAGGCCATATCCGTAGAACTAATCTATTTCAGTAAAACAACACTTTTTCTAACACAGAAACTCATAGAAAAAGTGGGCAGTATTCTATACCTTTACAGAAAGTCTCTGTGCCATTCCATGTCCTGTTCTCTCTACACACCCGTACCGCAGAACCTTTGAGCACAAATCCACGATTGCACTTGAATTTCACAATGTCTCCTTTGTTGTAGTTGCTACCGTACTTTCGTCCGCTTACGGGAGTACCAAGAATCGGGCAATGGGTGTCTGAAAGAATATCATTTTTCAATCACTGCTTTCAATAAGACCCAGCACCCGCCGGAGCTCCGGCAGGTATTCTGTTGGAAATCGCCGGGTCAGCCGGGTATACTTTGTATGCTTTCAAGCAAACTCACGGAGTGAGGCCCTAAAACACCTCGAGTTCTTATAGAGTTCTTTCATTCGACTTTTACCTTTATAAACGACTTTTGATGAAAATGATTAATATTGTGTTATCATATATTCGAGCATACGTTTCATACATTTCCAGCAAAAAAACGATCAGTTAAACAATTTTTTAAAAGGAGACTAATACTTAATGATCAACTTTGGAAGTAACACCGAAAACCTCTATTGAAGCCAGTTTATTCTGAATGGAAGTAATGGGATATTAGTGGGAAATTGTAATTTATATTATTCTCTGGCGAGTGCTTCACAAATGTAGCCACCTTCTTCAATTCTTATTGAAAGCACTGTTCCATTCAAACTTCGTGTCTCTTCGGCCAAAAATAAACAGTTTAAAGAAATAATGGTTGCGATTCATCAACAGAATTTCCATCATCTGATCATCAAATATAATCAAAATGGAGTTCAAGTTGTTTTACGTCCGGCACACAAGGGTAAAAATGATGGTAGGTGGTGCAAAAACGTTTTGAGATTTAAAATTTGCGATTCGAGGACTTCTTTATTATAACTTGAAACGTTAATGTCACTTTGCTGTTATGCTGTTATGTGAGATGAGCCATTGTTCATTTCCGTAATTCAGATGTACCGATGAAAGAAAATACAGCTTGTAACAATCATAGTAACCGGTAAAATCCACTTACTTCCGTTTTGACACGTAGTCAGAGATCCACTCCATTCCTTATTTTCCAGACAGATTCTCACCGCTGAGCCGTGGAGTTTATATCCTGCTTGACAAAAGAACTGCATCGTACTTCCAACTGTTCTGTATCCAAATCGGTGACCTCCTTCTGGTCTTCCAGGATCAGGACAAACTTTCTCTGTTTGGATTTCAATTAGAAATTCAAAATAATGAATGAAATGGCATACTCCACATCAACTAGTGAACGGTTCAAATGTCCCAAAAAAAGCTCTCATGGCAGATAAGTCAATCTAAGACAGAAAAACGTGAAAGTAAAAAAAACTAAACAAAAAAAAACAAAAAAAAAATGAGGAAAATGATGGAAAGATATGAGAGATAAGGATGATGGCCAAAATCCGCCCTCCATGAATTTTTTCTTGTTTTGTATCACATGATACTTCCGCCCCGTTCTATTAAATGCCTCGGCTGGGTTTCACCAAATACACTTACTGCTACAATATGGCCACCGTCGAGGTATCCAGCCATTTTCCAAGCAACTGACTGTTTTAGATCCTTTCAACTCATAGCCTTCATTGCACTCGAACAACAAAGTTGCGCCATAAAAGAAATTGGTTTCATCTGAAGTTATATTTCCATTTCGCATGGTTAGCTTTCCAGGATCCTCGCATTGGATTCCTGTGGAAATATATTGCGGGAGAGGAAAACATAAGAACAAATTTGACGTGGGAAGTAGGGATGCAGAGGTATAGCATTTCTGTTTGAAATTTATCTGCTTTACACTGAAGAGGCTTGGGCCGTTGTCCACTGTAATTGTCATCAATATATGGTCACTTAATTGAGGTATTTGGAGAGATATACCACTTCTTAAACTCGTTTTCTCGGTCTGTGCTGTCAGTTACAGACTGAGTTTTTTCTGCTCGAATTTATGGCTTAAGCGTGAAGCGCGCGAGCCGTAAATCCGAGCGGAAAAAACAGGGTTCCGTAACTTATTGTGCAAATCGGTACAAATAGAGGGTGAAAATTTCAATTCAAACAGACTTTGGAATTAAGTAGGCCGCAAAGTGATAAAAGCTCGCGAAATTAACCAATCAGACCACGTAGTGAGAGATATGATAAGTATCTATTAAATAGTTTTCAACTTTAATCGTGGGGACGCATTACGACTTACGTGAACATGACGGAGCTGTAGACCACACTCCATTTTCGAGACACTTTCTGCTGATTGGTCCGTTAAGTTTGTAGCCTCTCACACAGCTGTAACTGAGTGTATCTTTGAAGTCATAACTTGAACCTTCAACGTGAGCGTGGGGGACATCGCTGGGCTTCCCGCAAGGACCTGACGGAAAAAGAAAATAACAGCGATTAATAGTCCTAAATAAACTGAGAGTAAAACACCATTTGGCCTAAACGGCCATATGGAGATAAGGGGTTCTATAAATGACTCTTGCTGTGTGCCAGTATTTGTGGTTTACAGTCCATGGTTTCACAAAAAGGGAAGACAAAGAGAGACGACAAACAACATAAAGAGCTGGAGTGTAACGAACCTAGACATTTAGGTGCCCTGGACCACTTTCCAGTAATACCACATTTTCTTCTTTTGGGTCCTTTCAGTTTGAAGCCGACGTCACATTCATACTTCAAATTATCCTTGAAGTTAAAACTTGAACCTGTGTATTTAAGGTGTGGTATAACCTTGGGTCTTCCACAAGGTCTGGGAACTAAAAGACAACAGGAGGTAAAGACGTACATGTAAATATACACCTAAGAGAATTTTGAAATAAATCATAAAACGTGAAGTGAAACAAAATGAACAATGTCGAGGAAGAAGCCCAGGAGCTATGGGGTTTCAATCATTTTTGAATCATTTATTGTTACCTAAACATTTGGGGTCCTCTTTCTCTCTCCATCTCCCTCTCCTGCAAGTCCGCAGTTCAGACCCGGACAAAATGAATCCTTTATGACAAATGTATTTTGCTTTGAATAAGCGTATGTTGATTTGGATCACGGTATGATTCGGTGGATTCCTCTTTAAGTCTCGGAGCACTTGTGCGCAACCTTTCCTTCCAGACCCTACAGTTAAATAATGTAACGCAAGTAAATTCAAGTCATCATACCGTATTTCCTCGAATAAGCGCTTCCCTCGGATAAGCGCCCACCCCCTTGGCTACAATGTCAAACAAGCGCCCCCCTGGGGGATAGGATAGCCTGTTTCTCTTGCCACTTTATTTATATCTTTTAAGCTTCGACTACAAAGGTGATCAGTACATGAGAATAGTTTCTTTTCCTTAGTTTAACTTCCAGTTATTTCCATCTCCACGTGCTTCTAGAATTCCTTTATGTGCGTTATCTGTTATTTCATTATTTTTCCTACTGTCGTGCTACCTATGGGGGATAAGTTCTCTCAGTTTATATTCTCTTGGTGCTAATTTAATAAGCCCCCCTCCCCTCCCCCCCCTCGAATAAGGGCCCTCCTTAAAATCGAAAATCTTGTCCGAGCGCTTATTCGTAGAAATACGGTAAATTAATCTATTAATTCTGGAATTTCATTTTTTTCATATGGGGGGGGGGGGGGGGGGGGGGGGGGTCGGAGGATTCAGTTGTCTTCATATTAAATGTTCAAGGATTTCAAACTTACTTGCGCTCTTGACACACTGAACGGAACAGGTCAATATGGCAGCAAACGCACACAATACTATCTATGAAGAGGCATAAAACAAAATCAAAATATCAAATTGTCTATTCACTCACGCGACACCTTGACTTGGAAAAAAAAGCGCTTGGCGTGACGAGCTGAGACGACGGTTGCGAACGAGGCTACATAGATTCTCTGACGCAGGGAACGATCGAAAGAACAAAGAGCGAGTAACATTCGGAAACCATGGATTATTATTTCAGGTGGCCTTTATGAAAAAGAAACAACGGGTTCAGAATTTTCATTTCATTCTATGTTGAACTAACTCGGTTTTGTAGACGATTGGATCCATTGTAGACTATTTTAAGAACAGTAGTCTGAACTAGCTGCGTAACAACCGCTTCAGCACAAAATGTCGCATGATTCATCGATGTCTGGATTTAACTGAGAATTCGAACACCTCTTATTATAAATCACTACGGATCCAAATACCCTTAAAACGATAATCCAGTGAAATTGATGCATCCCAAAACTTTTCCATACAGTAATCTTCGTCTCAGATATTTATCCTTGTATTGTAACGAACACTGAGTCACTTTAGGTTTTTGTTAAGAGTAAGTTGAGCTTGGCACTCCAACATGAATCAGTAAAAACTACATTACGCATTCTGGTAGACATCAAATTTGACAATGAGATACTGTATATAGGCAATTTCCTATTAGATTCAAGATTATTCTTCCCAGAAAATCTATGACACTGGATCAATTAAGATTCACTTCAATTCATCTTAACGCCCTCAATGGAAGGTAAACATTCTTCTATAATTATCTGACCGGCGAATAAAAACATCAAAAATACCCAGAAGGCACACTTGATATTTGTGGGGAATGTTCGCTCACTTCTTCATCCTAAAATCGAGGAAGAAAGGTAGAAAACGAATAATAATTTGTATGAAAGCGACTCACCTTGAGTCCTAAAGACATCTTGAATCACCTCAAATCTCATTTGGTTTACAGTTGCACCACTTAGACTGCATGCTTCAACTTCCTTACTAACTGATGCTTTTACATCCTGTCAGCTTTCAGACGCCTTCTCTGATCTTGCGCGGATCAATTGCGCTGATCAATTGCCAAAACAAACAGGTACTCACGTCCATTGGAAGTATGAGGTTTCGATGCGCTTCAGTGGAACGAAAGGTGAAACACTCAGACCTTTGATTACGGTTGAGGAGGTATCTAATATTCAAACGTGCAGCAGCCGGTAGCCAGTAATTTCACAAGCACATAAGAACAATTAGTTTTTAGTTTTATTTTTTAATCCAATTCATAGTTTTGCAAGGTTTAGGTTGATCATTTTAGTGAAGGACCATCAATTTTTCTTAGAGTTGGGAAGTTGCCGTAGCTTTTAACATAATTAATATTATTATTGTATTATTTCATTATCTAAACTGGCCCCTACGTTAAATAAAGTTATCTATCTCCAGATAAAACTTCGTTTGCAAAGATGTCATCTAAGAGAAGAAAATATCACGGCTAACAACGCAAAAAATTAATGCTCGAGCACGGAAAATACTAGGCCAAGTTCTCCTGACTGAAGTGAAAATGTCAGAGAGAGAGTGAGTGAGAGATCTTTTGTGTTTCATTATGCCTCGTGCAAGGTTTGTGAGAAAAACAAACATCTGATTACCAAACATTCAAATACTGTTAACAGACAATTTTTTCGAAGAGGATTGCGTGACAAGTCTGAAGTAATTTGATTAGAATTTGATATTGTTGTCCACTTCTTAAAATCACCTTATTTCTTCAGTCGGAAACACGGACGGTCCTCTCGCCGTCGTGCAGGGGAAACGTAGTATAAAATAAGAACAGCCTTAATTCTAATGATACCATCATTCAGGGATTTTTATAAATATGAGAAAGAAAAATTTGAAGCTTATCTGAATTCACGTGTCTACAGAAATGACATGACTTCACTTAAAGGCCAGGTAAAGGTTTAACGTCAGGTGATGGCAAAATTACATGGATAATTCATCTTTTCCGCAGTCGTGAAGATTACAGGAAGATTACATCGAAGCAGCTCAAAAAATGTTTGTCGTAACAAAGTGAAAGCAATGCGTTTTTGAAAAGCAATGCATGGAATTCCAAACTAAGAAGGCGAACGAACGTCTATTTCCGAAAGCCATGAAATTTTAAAATGGCTTAGAGCAGGAGCAATTTTGGCGAGTGAGTGCTCAATATTTTCTTAACGCAAATTGTGGCCGCCATCTTTGATTTATATAGTGGCGGAAGTCTAGGGAGGGTCCGACGATCAAAAATAAGGAAAGTGGTGGGGGTGGGGGTGGGGGAGTGAAGATTCTCGCCCTTCCCCTGCCCCCACCCCAGCCTCCACTCTAACTCCAAATCAAACATGCCCGGTCGAATAAACGATCGAATGAATATAACATTAGCTCGCCCCAATACGACGCCTACACTTCAGGCAAAAACAACAATGGAAAGAGATATGGAGCAAAAATCTTAAGAAAATCTGAAATGATAAGCGTCACAATGAGGCGCGAAAGCGAAGATAACTTATGTGATATAGAGAGAATCAGTGCGGAACAGATGTATGCCTACAGCACTAGGCAGGTTAAGAATTGCATAACAGATAAAAATTCAAGTAGAAACTCTTAGAATTTTTTCAGTGTAATCTCGACACAACAAAACAAGTCCAAAGTATACTATTCGATAGGAGATATCCATAAGTACTGAGTTTACCTGCGAATCTCAACTGCTTTTGTGCAGACAATGACAGTGTAAAAATCATTAAAACTTGGCGTTTATTTCATTTGCTAAATACTGTGCGGCATAATTAGGCTATGAAGATACTTTTTAAAAGTTAATGCTTCCATTTTTCATCTACCGATGCTTCTTCTTTAACTCCAGAATTAACCTTTCACAGCCCCAAAACAGCGAAGCTGACTTAGAAGGAAACTCAGCAATCTGGCGCAAAATGCACACTGGTCAGCAGTCTGCCTTCAATGCGAACCTCAGAAAAAAGAACGTGATTGCTAGATGGGGTGGAAACTGAAACGCTTCCTCATTAAGCACAAAGAAAACATAGAATGGCCGAGGAAGCATTTGTCAGGAATCCCATAGAAGGTAATTTAGACTACAACAGTTTCTGTAAAATACTCAGCCTATAAATGAATCCTAAAAAAACGTCAAAAAGTGCCTTTTATTCTGACAGAGCAGACTAACATTAGGGTTTGCTCAGGAAGAGATAATCCAACCTGGTAGCTACCATCAAATACAGGAGGATGGGAAAGTTAAGCCTGTTGAACGCCAATTACAGATCAGTGTTGCAATGGGAAAATTTAAGCTTGTGTATTTCAAAATGCGCAAACCTTAACTGAGCTCGTCCATTATAAACGAACGTGGTCCAAGTTTCCCTTCGCGAGCTACGTTGTGGCTGACCATAAAGGTTAAAGCAGCATGCAAATAACAAAAAAAAAAAGAAAAAAAATCATCTTTAAAAGTAGGAAAAAAACAAATAAAATTTTTACTCTACTTTGATATCAAGATAATATCTTGCTTGGCATAGTATCACTCTACATCATGCAATCCTCATAATTTAGCATTTTGAGGGCTTAAATTCTCGAGCAAATTTATCCAATTTAGCTTTGTTCTCGCCGACTTCAGGCCACAGTTTGACGAACGAATTCTCGTCCAGCTCGTACTTGCCTCCTTCATCTCGACCCATGATCAAGTATTCCTTGTTAGTCTCAAGTTTAAGACTCCGGCACGTTCCTCGCTTCGTAAACTCTATCCGTGTTTTCTTACCGTCTTTTCGTCTGAGTTTCAGTTTCTTGTTTCCTTTTAGAATGATTTGCACAACCTCGACGACGTACTCAAGCATGGTTTCTACCTCATCGACCAGCAAGAGCTTTCCTTTTATGACTGGCATTGAAAAAAAGAATAAATAAAAAATGAATGGATAAAAGATTTGGGCTAAAGCGAGATCTTTGCAAGTATGATTGTATCATTTGATTTGTACTCTACTAGATCCTTTTCCGTCTCCTAACCTAGCACTTACTCATTTCCTTACTTAAATGATGTTAACCCTAGAAAGTAGTATACTATTTCGGTACTAGGCGTCTTAAACATAGATATGTTTTAGTGTTTAAAAATTGATTTACAAATATCCTAATCAGGCCTATTTTTATCAATTATTAAATATAACAATGAAAAGCAAACAATCAAACAAACAAACAAAAAAAACACGAAACTAAACCGATCTAGCTTCGGGGTAAGCAGCCTTCTAGGAGGTCTCAAAAATAAAAAAAAAACTCTTGAGGCGATGAAAACTCAGTCAAAGAAACTTCTAAAACTGTATCTTGAAAACGATCCAATTTGCATAACTACCCCCCTCTTACAAAACCCTACATGAAGCGCGATGTTCATGGACTTTGGGAAATAAATATGTTGACTTGGTGAAAACACCAGAGGCCCGTTTCTCGAAGGTCCTGGTAACTTAACAGGCCAGTAAATCTGTTTTGTTTTCATTCAAGGTGGGGATTACAAAAAATTTTTATTTTTAATACAGCTTGGGGTCTTTTAGGCGTTAAGTAACCGGTCTTTCGAGAAACAGGCCTCTGGTGTTTTCGCCGCGTTAGCAACTGTTTTCCCGAAGGGCTCCAGGACAGGTTCTGAATTGGATATGTGAGTGCGAACGACTAGGAACAAAATCCTATATCTTACTGTATTGGTAATTGGTGCAGGCAATATTTTTTAGCTTGTTAATGTTGTCAATCGGGGGATCATCCTGTGGACATTTATCTGCAAAAAGAAATACAATATTGAAATAATTTTACCTATGGATCACTGAACAAATCGTCTCAAGATAATTCTATTTCAGATTCCGAACCTTGAGTGCATTTGCACGAAGAGGAGCCAATATCACAAACTCCCAACTTCAACGGACTTGACTTTTCGGGCCCATAAAATTCGCTGCAGGACTGATCTGAGCTCAAGAAGGAAAGAATGGCGAAATAATTACAAATTCAAATGTTAGAGCCTACACAACAGGTATATGGCAGATAGGGAGGCACTGGGGTCGAGGTCCACCGAAGCCTATATTTTTGCAGACATCAATTTCTGTCAATTTCATTTATCCACGGATCAAATACGATTAATTCTGCATCATATGCAATAGGAAGAAGCTATTAATTTTCTGAAAGTTTAGAGTCAGGAAAAGTACAATCTTTTATATTCAGGTGGGATCTACGACAACTTGACGGAGCCGAGTTTTGTTTCTGATTTATCCGTGGTAAAACATTTATAAAACCAGTTTGAATTTTATTCTACTTTCATTTCTATTTATTACCATAGTTTGATCGAATGAACATGGAAATCACACTGGCTTTATCAAGACAAAAAAAGGGTAAGATGTTAATCCCAATACAGCTCGTTTTATTGGTAGAACACTTATTCAAGAATTGAAATTTGTAAATCCTTTGCTTCATTTCATATTTATTTCCTATTCCTGATTTTTCATCTAAATTCCTGCAAGGTGTGCATCCCTGTATCCCATCGAAATTTAAACACATCGACGGAAAAAATATTTAAATCATTTCTTTTTGATAAAAATTCATCCTAACCTGGTTGATAGTAGTCATACACATTCACCGGTACTGATTGAACTGCACCAACGTAAAACTCTTTTTCAAACAGAACATTTACGCACAGCTCATGGTCACTAGGGATCTGAAATAAATGACAGAATTGGGCAGGCAAGATTCCCAAAAATGTCGAAACAATGTTACAAAGCCAGAAGGTGATAAGAACAAAATGATGATGGTGAAGCGCGTTTAAGAGATCGAAAGTAATTGAAATAAACCCTCTGTGTTCTGACTGATCTGTTACCTCACTGAGATAAAGAACCAAGGATCTGTCTGATTCTTCAATCATATCCAGTTGGGGCAAGTCGGTTTTCCACTGCCAAAGGTAGAAAATATACCATTTATTATCCAACTGCACAAAGTAGGGTACAAATAACAGGCGAATAGAGTACAAATATCCTGCGATATTGTACGGTTATTAGGACAGTTAGTTGTTTTGTACTGTAAAAAAACCTGTCTAACCAGTCGGCTCTGCGCGTTATACGCTTCTCTATCCGCTTTGCTTTTCCCGTCTTAAGAGAAATGAGCAGAAAGACTTAGCAGAAAAAAAGAAGTTGGATAATAGATAACTTATAAGACGGGTTGGCTTGTATTTATTCGTATTTTGACTCGTCAGAATACGGCACAACTCGTAAAAATACTCAGCGATATTACAGTCCAAAACGTCTACTGAGATATATATGTCATACGTAAATACGTAAACAGCTACATTTATACACGTAACGACAGCACTACCGTCAAAGCTACTACTGCTTGTAATATTGCTCTCGTTACAACTACCGTAACTTTATTTTTCTTCACTCGTTTTCATAAAAAGGCCTCTAAAAATTTCTACTCGTTTTCAGATGTGAAAGATGTTCTTAGTTTGCATAATCATTAATTTGACCGAGTGAATTCTCGCCTTTCCACCCAGTGCCTGTGTTCTGGTGGCTTGAAAACAGCACCTTTTATAAAGACAACAGTTTGTTAAGAAAGGCAAGGAGGCAATAACTCCAGGATCTGTGTCTCTCTCTCTCTCTCTCTCTCTCTCTCTCTCTCTCCCTCTCCTTTTATTTTTTGAAGATACAAATGTATGGGTTTCTGATGTGTTGGCACTGTATTCTTCAACTACTACCACTATCCCTCACTTTACCTTGGCTAGTGATTTGTTCTTTGGTTTAAATCCGGTTAAGATTCCAATATCCATGATGGCCATTCCAGTATTACCAGGCTTCTTATACCTAAAAAAAAAAAAAGAAAAGCAATTAAGGTGATTGGATATGACGACAAGGAACAAGTCCAGTTTTACCTATCATAAACCAAACCACATCATTAACTGCAAGCAATCACAACAAAAACACCAAAAAGCAATGCAAAGTTAATACACGCAACTAGCTTGAAGCGCGAGAAAGCTAATGTTAGGACTAGCTTTAGATTATGTCTTTCTGATTGAGAAGGAGGTTGCCTGCATAGCAAACCAAAAGATCACAACTTTCATTATAGGGCAATGCCGGTAAGCAAAGCAATTCAAGATTGCTTTGGATAACTTTATGGAAAACCGACCTAAAGCCTGTGTCAAACAGAAGGATAAGTCGAGAAAGGGTAAACACCCAGCGTATACAGAAGGTTCCTCTCACCTGGTGCAGACTTCCAATCTGATATTCTTGACTGGCTGGTATTTAGGTGGAGATTGAGGCTTCTTGCCTTTCTTGGGGTTACCTTTGTTGTTTCCCCTTCTCTTACATTGCTTCTTCTTCTCTCGATTTCTTATCTTTTTACATCCTCTCCCTTTCTTTCTACCATTTCCTCCTTGTTTGTTTTTGTTATTGTTTCTTTTTTCTTCCTCTTCCTGACGTTCTCTCTCCGCGGCATCGCTTTGCATGGGTCCAAGTAGATTTTCCTTTTCATCTCCTTTTATTTCAACGACTTTTATACTCAATTCAAACATACAGATCTCATCCCTTGACGAGGGAAGATTGTAACGAGTTTCCACCTTAAATCGAAACATTTTAAATATCAAATGAACACTGAGTAGTCTGAATTACTAGTAAAAACGAAAATTGGCATTTTTAAATAAAAAATAATATTTATAAATTAGAAAAGTTAACTTAACGCCGAGCCTACATTTGAGACAACTATTACATCATAACTAATTAATGGGCGTTTTAAAAGTTTTTAGAGCTGATATTCAAATACTTCAAAGGCTGAGTATTTCATACAAAGCCTATACTAGTTGAGTGTCTGAATAGGGTTAACTGATAGCCTGAAACGGCCAAAGAAATAACCGTTAAGCGTCAAAATTGACAAATTTTAACCGTCAGTCAATGGACAACAACGGGTTAATCAGTAGCCGTTAGTAGTAAAATGACCAAAATTTTAACCGTAAAAACCCTCACCCCATTGAGACTCTCCTAGTTACCTGCTAAGTTTTAATAAAAAAAAGAAGATAATATTACCTCCAAGAGTCCCACACCACTTCCTTTAGTCTCCACGAAGAGCTTGCCGGGAAGAGCTTGCTCTGGAATCTGAAATGAGCAGAACAGGGGAGCAATAACTCTGCTAGCATTTATTCTGAAAGCAAAGTTAACATAGCCCTGTCATATGGAAAAATCGTTAGATATCCGAGAGTACTAAAAGCGTTATATTAGCAATGTACAGTTTTATTTTGCCAATGTGTAATGATCCAAAACTATTGCTTACTCAACATCCATCATATTAGCGAAATTTGGGGCCCCACCTATTCAAGTTAGACATGTTATCAGAGGTGGGGAGGAATTTGTTTCTTGTTGCTGGGGAAAACTCGTTCTGGTCGCATCCAACACGCAATTCCTCTATTTGCTGACGCAGGTGTTTTATCGTTAAAATTCTCCTTCTAGGAACTGACAGCTAATTTGATGTTTGACGTCAGACATAGAAATGCACCTTGTAGCATTTAAGAACTCTTCCCAAATATTTCTGAGATCCGTTCTTGTGACACCCTATCTTCTGCGTCCAAAAATTTTTATAAACAAAAATCTTGATTCGATTACATTAATTCTACAGAATTGAAACAAAAGTTTGGATGAGAAGCCCTTCATTGTAGTGTGCTTAACGATCAGTCTTCTTCAGTCTGTTCTACTTTTTTATTTGGCGATAGCACTATTTGCAACATCACTAAACATCTGCTGATACAGAAATTTGAAGTGAATGGATGACTAGAACGAATGAACCTCAGTTGAAATTCATGACCAGTTGCATCTAGGATTTGCTATCGTATAACTTCTTTGGAGTATTTCCGGACGATTTCTATCTCACCTTGACTTCCCTCCGTAAAAGTGCGTTTTCTGGGTTAATGTGATGGAATTCTTTTACATCTCCTTTTTCTGTCTCTACTTTTACTCGTAAGTCTAAATTATTGTTTCCTGTAGTTTTCTCGCTGTGCAATGCAAGAGCTTGGAGAGCTACCACTGTATCCTGTGAAAAATTTTCAGTGTGGTAAGAAACAGATCACATATTTCGATGCTCATATGAAAAAAGGAAAGAGGTAGACGAGGAGCAAACTTCTCTCACCTGTGTAGATACAAATCCGACACCGCCCTGCCTCTGGCCTGTTATATACGTTACAATAGGACCTGCATAAACGGTGCGTCCGAGAAGCACTTGAGTCATCAATGCATAACCAGCTGTCTCCACATTAAGTGCATTTCCACCAGTATTCCAGTGCCGAGTCTTTTTAACTAAAGTTGAAAGTATGTATTTTTTTAGTTTAAACAATAATAAATCGCCTTGTTAGACAGAACTGTAACATGTTAAGATTTTTGCAAAAACTGCTAGCGTTCTGTTGTTTCCTAGACAGAAACTCGATCATTGAATCGCTCAAGAGGTTTTACGTCCTTTGCCGTTCTTATTTATATTAATTTTCTTGCCAATACAAATTGTTTACTCCCCTTTTCTGATATGAACACTGAGCTAGGACAGCAGAATCACTGAAACCATATCAGCCCAAAAACTGAACTAAGCAGACCCCGTTGAACGTAGAAAATCCTCACATTAGACAAATACTCGAATTAAAAGCCAAAAGAATCGATTTCAATAATCACGGTCATCAATTTTCCAGGTGGCGAAGAAAAATAACAATGCGTGGAAAAATTTTGTCAAATGCAAGGCCCGGAAGGGTTATTTTCGTGCAGAATTCGTCATCTAACTCCTAGATGTTTCATTTTTTTCTCCTCAATTGCAGAAGTTGAAGAACCTTGGTCCAACCTGCATCGCTGATTTTGTTTGTCAATATTTTTCTCTACCACACTGCAATCATGAAGAGCACGACGACAATATATGTGATAATAAAGTTTCTCGTCACGAAGACGTTATCGCGTTATGACAAGCAGGCGGAGCAACCTGGATAAGAGATGGAATCTATGAAATTAGACCAAATTACATACATTTATGTGTACATTCTATTATTACTTTACGAAGTTAATAAGGACTAAAGTAAAAACTAACCATCATCGTACTGAGACCTTTGAAGAAGTCGATCATTAGCATCGACTTTTTCTCTGCTATCAACCAAGCTCAGAGCATAAGCAGTGAGAGCCATACTGTAAGGTCTATTCAAGTTTTTGTACCGACTCTCCAAGAAGTTTGTGGCTCTTAGTAAGTGTGCCTGTGAAACCTAAGAGGGAAAAAAATTGTGCCGAATTTTTAGCTTGTTTTAAATTGTTTTGGTCGGCATTGATATACGAGGAAGCAGCACTCTTCGTCGGGACAAAAATCGAAAAGAAAATTGCAACTATGAGGGGTGTCCTCCTGATAATATTGCACCGCAATTGTTTGCATTTCACTACATCGCATAGCATTTGATTGCACTATAATTTAACGCATTGCAATATAATACATTACTATGAAATTATTTTAACATACCGCTTTGCAATTACATTCCAGCAGAGCAGATAACACAAAGGCTGTCATAGCAACGTCTCCCTCTGAATTGTATACACCCCCCTGGAATGTAAATTGACATAAGTGTCCGTAAATATCAAACATAAACTAACTATTAAATAAATAGATAATAAGCTCGCTATTGTTTATCTACGCTCACGAGAAAAAAAAAACAATTTTTGGTTAGCAAATAACTGTGAAAGGATTTTTCATTCTTTCTTTTTGATCAATTTCGGGCAATGCTGAAGAACAACCTCGTTTTGATTTGTTTAATGATCTAAAGCGAGGTGGTTGTTTCTTCATAAAGGAGTCATGAAAACATACGCAATGAATGTTCCACGACGACAAGAGAACGTTTGTATCAACAAAACAACATGGCCGCCTTGGAGACAGCGGTACTGAGGCCCGAACGGGCTGCTGTGCATAAATACAGCGGTACACTCTTTAAAGGCAGGCAAATGTAGAGATAATGAAAAAAAAAAAAAAACGCCGTTTCCATTCGAAAGGAAAAAAAAATCACAGAGCCTTGGGTGATTGTGCTTAATTTTACAACAACAAAAAAACCTTTTTTGCCCTTAATTCAATTTCGGGTTGAGACCATATTCACATCTTTAACTTCTTAGACTTTTCTCTTCTTACCACCATCTCTCTATGAATGACATGGTGAACCTCGGGGAAAGCTCCATCGTTGCGTTGGTTTTCAATCAGCCAACCCACAGACTCGCACAGCATTTTTTCTTCAATTTCATCACCCAAAAACTTTTTAGCCTTGCAGAAGACCTTCATCACAAAAGCAGTCAACCTTGGTCGCACACATAGAAAAACTGATTAGCTAACGTTTCAGAACTAAAGGGCCCATTATTAATGCAATTTTACACAGCGTTTTTGAAAGTCGTTGTCTAACCAGTGTTCGACGCGTGAAAATCGATTATTTAATGCTGTTTGATCTTAACGGTTTTAGATCTCGTATAAACACCAACAGGAGTACTGTAGCGAGTTAGATCTACTCACAGGTGCGTTTAAACGCTTTTTACTGGATAATCTCACAACCAGCGGTTTTGAAATGGACGAACTTCTCATGCCAATCCGAGCTTATGTTAATTCTACCACCGTTATGCCTAAATTTTGCTCTGCCTGTGCTCGGTAATCTCTAACCGTTTCCCTCGTTTGACACTTCTCCTTATGCCTATTTTTCCTTCCCAGTCGAGGATACTCTTTCGGACCTAAGGTAAAACCGTTAGCCGTTGCTACAGAAAGGGACATGTTTGTTTGATCATTAAGTAGTATTAGTGAACACTGAAAAGGTAACATCTCACGCAGCAAACATTAAGCTGTTCGTTAATATTTTTCCTGCGCCTTGCAAAATAATTTAAAGTATAATAAACACAATAGCTTCCATTTGACGCAAATATATGCTCATATCTTTGTCCTTGGACTTATATGTTTCTTGTAGCTCACACTTTTTTTCGAGCTTTGCTCTTAGAAAACCATTTGCATCTTGAATCGGCTAATGTCCGCGGACATCTGTGCATATTTTCGCGCCAGATAAAGACTATTAATTGTAAGAGACTATTGTTTATACCTAGCTGAAAGGGCAGGTCGATATGAAAATATGGAATAATACAGCTGATACAATGAGTTTACAAACCATGTGCTTCCTGGTCGTTCATTTCCAAATGCACTAAATGACCTGTCGTCACGACGGTAGTTTAATTCACGTTGATAACCTGAAAATGAAACTTAAATTTCAAGATTGGTTTGCAGTAAAATAATAAACCATTTATGTTAATTTGTTAATCGCCGTTGATTTTGTTCTGTTTGCTATAGGCTAACTAAACACGAGAGACTAGCTACTGATAGATTTCTCTTGTAAAAATTTGGAGCAATCCCGAAAACATGGACTGCGGCACGCTACATTTACATATCAAAATAACCTGTCGAAAGTACTCTGCAATTTTCTATGGGTGTCATTATCCCGGTTTGAAACTGAAATACCCTTGTCTTATGTCAAATTCAATATTACAGCTTTCTTTAAAGGAGAGAGCCACTAAAATGAAATAGCTAACAACCATTATATCTAAGGAAGTAAATAGCAATGAAGTTTCACGGCAAAGGTAATGCAAACTATTTTGAACCATCTTAAACAGTTCACGCCGCGTTTCGTTGTAGAAAATGAAATCTGAAATAAAACCTTTGCAGCCTATGATTACCATCAGCTGATTGGCGATAACCAACACGCGTGAAGACACGTGTGTTTGTTACGGCTTTTCTCAGGGCTGGAAATCCTTGTGTAACACCGTACTTTATACAATAAAAATAAAGTTCTGATACAACGCGCGCTGCCATTGGTTGAAAGAGCGTGCTCTATGAGAGTACAGAGCATAGAGCTGAGCTAAAGCTGTCACGCCGTCTGCCAAATTATACTATGTTCGACCTTTTCTAAGACTTTTCTCTAGTTTTTTTTTCTTTAATTGAAAGTGAAATTTCGGAACAAGCGAATCGGCAGATAGCAACAGAAGAACCAAACAAAGGTTTGTAAACATGCCAGGCGCCGTAATTGACGTTATTATAACGTGAGCAGAGACGAAAATCATCAAAGAGAAATCAAAAGGTAGAGTCCGACTGTTTTGGATATTTTCACACTCGGTTAGATTGCAAGCTTACGCACGGTAATAAAAATCAAACACAGCTAACACTTGTGTAGTATATACAGTTTCGTGTTCAAAAACAAAACAGAACAAAACAGGAATTATGAACAATGTAGCCAAACTAGTATAACTGTTAAAATTCATTCTAATCATGACGGTGTCAGAGCGACCGTGATCACGCTGAGGTCCAACGCAGCTAGCTCATCGGGGTGATCTCCGGTCATCGCAGTCAAGTAAGTCTCAGAAATTACATCGGCCGCCTTTCGAGAGAAAAACTAAGAGCTTGCTCTGATATCCTTACCGATGCGTCACTGCAGCCGAGTGTTACGGCTCTGTCATCCCGAGCAATCTTCATAAAACACACGCTTGAACAGTTTGTTTTCTAATTGTCATGTTGAAAAACTTGCGTGTTTTTATGAGCCACAATTCGGCCGGATTTCACAAAACATTTCACAATCAGATTCTGTATTAGAGACTTAAAAACTTCAGCCAAAAGAGTTAAATTCAACCTGTCGAACTATTAAGTTTGTAAACTATTGCAGAATGTGAACTTTGATGGTTTGAAATTTTTGACAGCTTTGGTCTTGTACAGCCAATCAGATTATTTGAACCATCCCAACAGGGATTCTGATTGGCTTACTGTAGCTTGCTTAATAGGAGCAGAGAGCATGCTGACGACACTGTTGTTCGCTTTGGAAATAAAGTTTGTTTTGAAAATTGAAAGTAATGCTTGAGGAATTTAACGGATTCTTTATTATAAAACAAATAGAGAAGCCTTGACTGTGCTCTGTTCTGTCTACACATCTTTCGTGCTCTAGCCGCTTCCCTAAGTGCTTTACAACAGAACAGAACACAGACAAGGCTTCTATATTTGTTAATTAGAAGAAAGTAGTATAAAAAAGATTTCTCGCTAAGAGAACCTTTAGGAGAGACTAAAGTTTGACAAAAAACTAAGTGTCTCATGTTAGAAAGAAAACTGTACATACCTGACTGGATGAAGCGGTGTGCACTTTCTGCGCTTGCGCCACTGATCTGTTTGGTGTTCATAAGATATTCTAGAACGTACACGTTAGGGGCAAGAAAAAGCATTGTTTGCTCCCCACATCCAGTAGGTTGGCGGAAAAATTTCTCCAGACCACCCTCGATAGTCGTGTTTATAACTGGACCAAGAAGGTTTCCTGATGGAAATGGAATATAGAGTTGGAACAACTATGAACCCATACAACTCGATTTCCCATTAAGTGAGAGTCTTGTTGTCATTTTCCCAAGGCTTTTCTTTTGATCATGGCCACAGTATTTGTTCTTTTCTTTTCGGGCGAGATAATTTGCTGGACGTTCACGATTTTCGTGTTCAAAACTTTACCACAGCTCCCTTTATAATTTACATCGCGTAGACAGTGGTCTTCCTAAGATAATCACATTACAGTAAACAGCGTTGGCACTGCGCAAACGAACGCAACAGGTAAAAATTTGCCTGGAATTCATCGAGATTAGAAAATATTTGCAAACGATAGCTTTTTTCATCAGGGTTTCCTAAAATTTAAAAGTAAAACATTTTATGATTTTTTTTAAAAAGCCAAAACATAATTCCTTCAATTATTTACTAAATTCTGTCTGATCACTTACCAGTCAAGTATACGACAGCTCCAGTTGAACCACTTATGGCTTTAGGGGGGATTGCGAAGTCAACTACAATAAATAACATTTACTTGTGTCATCTTTTAGGTTTTAGAAATACACATAGTACCACAGAATAATAAAAAAAGGCTCCTTTTTGACAACCTTATATATATTCAAAACATGCCCCACGAATTAGACCAGAGATTTCCTCATATTAAATTATTTGGTGGAAAACTTAAAAAAGCCTTTGCAAACAAAATTCGTCCATCTTGTCGCATGTGCTGTAACGCCCCTTTGGATTGTATGGCAGTTGTTAGCAGTTGTTTCGCACCACACATATTTGTGTCCAGACTGTTGTTTCGTAGTTTAACAATAGTGCGTGTAGTTCAAACAGAGCGGACACGCAATTTGCTGATGCCCTTCAATTTCACGGCAACAAAATTGTATCCTCCAAAATATTTAAGATGAAACATACTTGAAATGTTCCTTGGCGATGTGGTAGAACTGTGTCCTCCATTATTACTGTCATCATTGAGAATTCCTGCGAGTGAAAGCAAAGAACATCTATATCAATAACTATCACGGAGGGCCATCCCTGAGAAATTTTTCGTTTCCCACTGCCCGACCGACCGACTGACCAATATTTCAGAAATACACAAGACGACAAGTCAAATTACAATGCTTTCTCAGACTAAATTTTGCAAAGAACCCTGCATTTATAAACTGACTTTTTTATTTAAAAGTTAAACTTTTCAGGCTCCCTTGTTTAATTCCTCAGTCAATTATTTTTGGTTTTTTTTGCACTTTCATTTTTGCACCAATCTCAAGAGCATGGAACTGAAAGTGAGTCATAGGAGGAGGGAAGTTCAAAATGAATTACCTTTAGGATCCAGTGTAAAGGATCGTGAAGTACGATTTTCCTTTCCTTCTGGCTAATAGTTATGAAAGAATACAGAAAGCAATGGCATATATTTAAAAAGAAAAAAGTTAACACTGAAAGTTGAGGTAAGTTAAGACCGAAAAAACACATGACTTCAACATGATTTTGTCTTTCCAAGTTATGCAAGAGCAATTGATTTTTTTTAAAAAGGGCTTAAATACCAAATCTCGCCTGTACGAACCCTGCTGGTTCTTTCTATAGCGACCACACTTCTCCACGTAAGAATATTTACTGATTGAACATTTAAAACATTATTCTGCTTATTCACATCAAAAGTGCTCAATTACAAATCACATATTCCAGAAGGATTTTTTACGTGATACGATATACATTTAAGGATTCACTTTTGAACTTTAGGCGCTCATGTTACGTAAATATCTTCTTTGAATTAGGACAGAATTTTTTTCATTTTTTATTTGAGAGGAATAGAAAGCAAATAGTATTTCTCCACCTTCCATATAAAGTAAGCAAAATGTTTCGTAATTATATTCTGCAAATTTAAACTAACTTACCACAACAAGAAGCTCTCGTTTTACGGCATCCACTTCCCTTTTTTCCCAAAAGTCTTTATTACCTTCTTTTATTTCAAGAATCGATGTGACTTCGATTTCTATTTTTCCAGCTGTTTTGGGAATAATTGGGACTGCAACAGATCTGGCATCGTTTGGTTGAGGGTAGAGTATTCCGATCAAAACAAGGCTGTCATCGTCAGCAGTGGAACAGAAGTCTTTGTTACCTCTGAGGTATACCTTTGCCTTTTGGAGAGAAAATGAACCATACGAATGTTTAGCACTGTTTTCCCAGAGGCAATGAATGACCCATTTGGCTCAAAAGGTTCATTTACTCGTAAATGA